ACTTTCTTTGGAGTTGAAAAAAATACCTCTTTTGAGATGTAGCTCAATAGCAGCTGTAGAGAGCCAGTTTGGTGTAGTGGCTAAAAGCCTGGAGACCATGAGTTCTAGTCCTGTCTTAGACACAACGCCAGCTGGGTGACTTTGGGCCAGTCACTCTGTATCATCCTTAGGAAGCAGGAAATAGCAAAGCACTTCTGAAATCTTGCGAAAAAAACTGCAGGGTTAGGGCAGATGCCTGGAGTCAACACTGACTTGAAGGCACCAAAAAAAAAAAAAAGACAATCATGATGATGACCACCATATTAAATGGGTTTTTAAAAGAAGATAAGGCTATAATGAGAGCCAGATTGGTGTGGTGGTTAAAGGCACTGGGCTAGAGCCAGGTGACCCTGTGTTCTAGTCCCACTTTAGGCACAAAACCTAAAAAAATAGGTAATTATATTGCAGAGAAAAAAAGAATACATCTATATGCAGAAGATATGCCTATTGAGTTCACAGCAATCCCCACCTATATTTATGCCTATGCCTTAAGAGTTTAAATCCTAGGCTTTTTTTCCTGTTTTTCTGAGTCAACTGATGTTTTGCCACTCTCCTCCAAGTGACAGGAGACAGTTGTAGCTGAGGTACGTTTACATGACTCTTAAGTCTACCTGAATATCATAGCTTCCCACCTTACCAGCTTTAGCTTTTACAGACTGAGTATTGGCCCACAATATTTTCATTATATGTGAAAAGCACCAAGTTGGATTAAGTTTCAATATATCAGCTCTTCTCTAGCACATAACTAGTTCCAACCTAAATAATCTCACCTGATTCAGATAGAAAGGAAAAATAGTTGGGAGTTGTGTTAAATAACTTCTTCAACTGAAGCATTTTCAGATAGATGCAATTTTAAAGCTATTTGCTAGAAAATCTATCTGATGCAGATTTACGTATTTATGATCACACCAATAAAAAAAATATGTCTACACCTTGCTTTTTAGAAAATTATATGAGGAAGGAGAATGGGAAAAAATTAATTAAAAACTGAAGCATTTTCAGATAGATGCAATTTTAAAGCTATTTGCTAGAAAATCTATCTGATGCAGATTTACGTATTTATGATCACACCAATAAAAAAAATATGTCTACACCTTGCTTTTTAGAAAATTATATGAGGAAGGAGAATGGGAAAAAATTAATTAAAACCCATTAAAAACAGGTTTCCTAGAAGCAGTTGGGATAATATGAAGACCATATTATTTAAGTGAGTATTTGGAGGATCTTAATGTTTTTTGTTGATTTATTACAGATGGCTGCCATGTTATTGTGTTTTATATTTACTGCTGAGTTTTGAAGTGATATCCCTATTTTTATTTATTGTAAACCAGCCAGAGTCATATAAGCTGGGCACTGTAAAATAAATAAGTTTATATAATTTTATACTGAACATGATTCATCTTACTTATATTCTCATATTCTATTATACAAATATTTATTCATGAGATGTAGTGGCTGCCTGACTCCAAAATGACTCTGGGCGGCCTACATAAAAAATAAGAACAGGAAAATAATAAAATGGCAATTCCATGCATCTGGACAACATACTTCCTCTAACAAAAAACACCACCAGTAGGACTCCACACACACCCTACCAAAGCCTGTCAAGTTTTTAAAGACTCCTGAACATCATCAGGTGGAAGTGACACGGATCTCTGGGTGGATATCATTCCAGAGGGCAGCTACTATGACCAAGAAGGCACACCTCCTGGGTCCTGATAGATAGCATTGTTTGATTGAGGGGACCCAAAGCAGACCAACTCTGCCCAATCTTACTCAATAGGCAAAAACTATGGATGATAGGTGATCGTTCAAAGTACCTGGACCTACAAATAAATAAACAGGTCATTTTATTTAACACTAGAAAATGGGAAATTAAGGATATAAATTAGTATATGCAGCCCAAATATCTAAATAGTGCTCCAAATAAGACTCCAGGTCTAGGCTGTATTTCCTTTGGGGCTCATCTGAGATTTTGTTGCCTTACATTCTGGGTGAGGCAAATCCTTTAGGGAACTTTCTTGATCCATGTTACCTTGCTGAATAAGTTCATTTCTTCTCTAATGAGACAAATCAATAATGATTCACCATACTGTGGTTTTTGGTTCTGGAAATATCCACTCTTTCCCTTGATAAAATCTTTGCTGAATTTAAGCAGAAGATTTGGGACCAAGACATTCGCATCACACCTATAGAGCCAGCGTTTCTGTAATGGGAAGGAGGAACAGGAAGAAGAGCCGCAACCAAAATAACAGTGAGTTAAAAGAAATCTGTGACTGGGGCAGAAATGTCATTTGAGGAAGTGTCCCAGACATGACCCTCCCTAAGGATTACATTTATGCCCTGGACAAATTGACATGCCACCCATTAGGATGGCAGCAGGCAGATATACTAGTCTTTCTATGAAAATTGCACTTGTATCTACTCTAATGCAGATACTGAATCTGTATCACATGTATTGCTAAATACCTATTGTATACTCAATGGCAAGTGGATCTCATATTACCAATTATCAGAAAATTTAATTGTTCTTGTAACCATTTTATTTATTTTTTTAATCTGCAGTATTTGATATATTTTATGATTGGTCTTGGATCAGAAACAAATGCACTGAATTGAATGTATTCAAGCAGAGGTTAACAGCCATCTAATATGGATGTTTTAATTTGAATTCCCAAACAGACCAATTGGTTGCACTTGATGGCCTGAGTGATCCCCTCCAACTCTATGATTCTATGATTTTATGTTTCAATAGGACTTATTTCAAAACCAATACCTGTAAGATTGCACTATAAATTCAGCACTTACTATCATGCATTTGATCCAGACATTTGAGGCAGCCCACTAAGTAATGATCTATTGTTCTGCAGGCAAAGAAAGTCCAATACCTCAGATCATGAAGGGAATGTGATGAGACATGCTCATGAATGTATGAGAATCCAATTCTGACTGTGGATGAACACTCTGAGAACATACAGATCTGAAAACCGTAATACTGGTTTGACAAGGCAACTTAGAAATTGAGTGCTTGGGTAGCACAAAGTTGCCATAATCTGAATTGGATTCTCATGAATTCATGAGTATGTCTCATCACATTTCCCTCATGACCTGAGGTGACGGCCAAGTTAATTGCATTTTGAAGCAGGACTCGTCTAGCAACTGGAAGAATTGGAAATGATCTAGCCTTAGCTTGCTCTTGATTTAGTATGCTTTGAAACTGAGTTTTGATGCTTGATATTTCTACATGCTAGAAATGGCAGTTCTTATATATTATTTTCCTAGGGGGCATAGTGCTAAATTTTAAAGCAAAAGAAACAAAATTCAAAACTTTAAATTGGCTCCATACTACTGTGTGCTTGTAATGTTATAAATATTTAGTTCAAATGTCTGTCTTTTAGACTCCACTATTCAAACCTTATAAATTCCAATAAATAAGCTGACGGACTTATATCCAATAAATCATTCCAATGAATAAGCCAGTGGACTTATTCTTTTAATGCAGTTGTAATTTCTTAATTTTTTAAAGACTAAATCATAATATGCATATAATATTACTAAGAAAAAGATGTGGGATATTTTTCCACTAAAGTCTGTGTAAACCCAGTCAAATACTAGCATAACTGTCTTAAGTTGCACCTAGCATAATGATGTCCTAACAGGTTGTGAATGCATATTGTACAATATTTGAATCAAAGTATTTGATACTTGCAGATAATTCTCATTTATCTGCAAGCATAAAATCCTTGTGTTAGTACAACACCATCACTATATAATGTGAATTAATATTGTTATAAATGCTGAAGTAACCTGAATGGGCAGGCAAAGGCTGTGGACTATTAGGAGACTAAAATTTCACAGAGAAATAATTATGCCATAGCAGAAATCATTGTTCAAAACACATTTTTGGAGGTATCCTGATGAGATGGTTGGTGATTCCTTTCAGATTGTTCCACAGAGCAAAAATGCTACCGAATAGCTGGTTCTAGTTAACCTTTTCCTTAAGTACTTAATATTATGTGGAAAATATGTATTTTTTTCAGTACAAAACCAAACCAAAGTATTATGCATCAAATAATGCTGACATAACAGTATCATTCAGTGGACTAGAGCCCTCAGCTATTTTAGTCTGGTTTGGTTTGAACAATTTAATACATGAGGGCACGTGTAGAATGGGCACATCACAAAATGGCTTCTGTTGTGGTGCAGTCTATCACAAAACAAAACAAATCAGACAGGGCAAGAGACTGCTGGATGGTAGGGAAAGCGTCCTTTGGCACATTGGCGGCCATAAGCATCATAGATACAGGGAACCAGAGCAGTAGAATACACAGAAATACTTTTTAAAAAAGAGGAAGTACAAACATTTAGTAAATTTGGCAAGTGAATGTTGATCTTAATTTTAATAATGTGTCAGATTAGTATTCATTTTTAGATTTTTTGTTTTGCTTTGTTTTGTAATTATACAGCTGTATATTCATGTCAGTGAGTACATGCATACTAACCACCCAGAGCCACTGGGAGTCGGTGATGAAAAAAATTAAATGAATAAATAGCTGGTGGTTGGAACAGATCAAAGTTCTGCTTCTCAAGTATAAAGCTGGCCTAAGATGCTCTTGAGTAATTACAACGAACTTAACAGCAATAGCAACTTTATATAAAAAATGTGGGTCAATCCAAATTCATACAGTATAACATGTTTACCAAAATTAGATATTTTATCAAAGCTCTACAATTTTAAGTAACTTATATTTTTATATTAGAATAGTCAGAATTTTAGGGACACAGTAAATGTCTAAATCAGAATCTATCTGATTTATTTACTTAATTTGGAGTAATTAAGAATAACATAACAGACATCAACATTAGATATTTTTATCAAAGTTTCATTTTTAAAAACTAACTTTTAAATAAAAATTACAAGGAGCAATAGTAATTATTTATAGTTTATTAATTTACTTTAATATTGTCAATGCAATAAATTGTCTACTATAAAATTACAAGTAAACAGAAATATTAACCATCACACAAAAGTGTTTTTAAAAAATGACATTCCAGAATCCAGAATTAAGACACTAAAATTTTCATTCCATTTTTTAAAAACTTTTTTTACAGATTAAATATTTTAACTTATATTTTCAAACTTGAAAGAATATGCAGCAGATGCTATGCATGATTACTTAGCATTTTCCTCAATTGAGTTTTCTCTCTATAGGTATTCATAGAATTGCTTTTTGAATGAAAAATTCTACATCCTTTTTCCCTTTGATATGTTTGTTACATATTTTCAAGGAAACAGAATAATTTAGAATTTCACTGTAATTCATATTAGCAAAGTCTGTTTCTTCTCACCAGTCATACAGAAAGCACAGTATCTTGAAGGGTTTTTTACACCATTTGTTTACCTTTTAAAAGTATTTTGTCCTGGCATCTTCTCTGAATATTTGTATAATATTCAGAGGTCACTGAATTTGATAATTATCTCAAAACAATCTTCATCCTCTTTTAAACTTTGTCTAAATAGCTGTGCATGTTGCCATGCAATATTGCCATCTCCTCCACTTAGTTCAGCTTCCAAGGTAACGTTTGTTGCGTTGGAAATATCAGGATAAGAATGAAGCCTTTTATCTAAACAAATGGAAACAAAAAAACCCTGTTAAAACAATATTTTAATAACAAAATATTAAATATAAGGACATTGATAAGCCCTGCAAATTATTTATTATACAATAATAATAATTGTTTAGACCATTGTCAGAATTTGTTTACATCTAATAGAGCAGGCAAGTGAATACATATTGGCTTGAGAAAAAATTAAGAATCTGTGATGTCTGTTTTAATTTTCAGCCCACGTTACCATCTTCTTGAATATCTGAAATGACATATGCATTTTCTTTTCTACATTCTTTTTTCTGAGTCTATAATACATATATTACATCTGATATACATTGCACATATTTGGAAATTGGGATGTGTGCATTATTACTGTTCCAAAACTGGTTCCACATTGAAAATGAGTTTGACTAGTTGCCATGGTCTCCAAAACAGGAAGTAACTTAGAAAATGCAAAACATGCATCCTTAAAAAAAGAGGATCAGGCTGCATTAGTGGACAATAATGCAAAAGATTTAAGGAGAAAAAAGAGACTTATGAAAACTAAAAAAAATTCACAGAAAACCCTTAGCAACTTCTAAGTTGCTGTATAATTAATTAAAAGGAAAGGATTCAAATGATGAGGAAAGGATCAAAGTAGGTTCAGAGGAAGATGTTCTGTGTTTTACAGGCACTACTTGAGAACACCTGGCTGAAAATTTATTTATAGGATAATAGAGAGGGGCAAGCAGGGGTCCTTCCTCCCTTACTCAGAAGAAACTTGTATAGTTAGTAAAAAGCATTTTTAATAACGAGTGCAATTATAAGATGTAAGCAAGGATAAATTAAAAACACCTGAGACAATCTAGTCAGTTAAAAGTTGAACTGTATAACGAATTATTAAATTCATAAAAACCCTATGTGGAGTAGCATGGATTTTGCCCATCTGGCCTGAACATCTCAAGAGGGCCTGCTGAGAATTCCTGTTCCATAGGATATGCATGGGATGAATTAGATGGCAACCCTTTTCTATAGTGGCCTCCATCTTCTGGAAAGGCTTCTGAAGGTATGTGTAGCACCCACCCTCTTTGCATTCTGCAAAGTGGTTGAAATAGCTTTATCTCACAGTACTTTTGACCCTGATTTATTGGGACTGCTCCCTCTGGTACATAGGTGTTGTTTTGTCTTAATTTGTTCCTTTTGTTTTTTCTACTTCTACAGCCCCAGAGTGCCCCAGACTGGGGCAATAAATTAATGTAAAATAATGGGCAACATTATCCCATTATTGAGGAAAAAAATCTAACTCTTAAGAAAGAGTTTTGTTTCAAACAAATGCAGGGTTACATACATTTGTTTTAACATAACTCTCGCAATAGCAACATGATCCTATGGTTATTTAATCAGAATTAATTTGCAGTGGGACAAGAGCTTGGCAGCATCTCTTGGTCAGTCATGGGTTGAGATGTACAACTGTCATCAGTATACTGATGATACCTGTCTCCAACAACCTCATGTAGATGTTAAACAGTAGGGGTGAAAGTTTTGAGCCCTGAGGAAAAGCCCAGGGAATATGATTTCTCCCCTCCCCTGCTAACAACGCTGACTGAAACTGGCCCCAGAGAAAGGAGAACTACCATAATATCATGCCTTCCACTCCCAGAAGGATATCATGGTCACTGATATTGAAAGCCTCTGAGAGATCTAGGAGGACCATCTTTCTAGGTGTCTGTTCTGACATTTCATATCTCATACTTCTTTGGAAAACCAAGGAACTCCCTGGGATCAACGTACAGAGGGAGCCAACAATCTGGAATGGGCAATCTGATCCAAGGGCCTTGTCACCTGCCCATTCTAGGTAGAAACTAAGGCCTCAGATAAATAGCCCACCAGATCCGGGGGAGGGGGGGATCACCCTTTGAAGCTCTCTAAGTCCGTTAGGTGCCTGGGGTGGACCAGTCTAATAGGTCCTATATCCCTGCAGAGGGGGAATGGGTAGCACCAGTAAACCAAAAAGCAATCAGAGTGACCTGACCATAACAAAAGATTTATGGTGATGTCTTCCACCTTCAAATCATGTCATAACTGCCTCAAGACACTTGGCTTATGTTTTATGACAATTAAGAAAATTAATAAGCATGATGTATTGTTAGCATTAGATACAATATATGATCATCACAACCTTAATTTTTAATATTCTTCCACTGTTTGCAACTACTTATTAAATTTTATACATGCCTCCATTAACATCAACTACAATGTTTCCAGAGTGCAGTGTCCACTTTACTCTTCCACTCTCAAATGTCTGGTTGGTTGTTCTGACTGAAATGTTTTCTATTTTTAGACCAACTGAGCCACACTCAAACTTCCAACAGATATAGCCAGATGAGAAGCCTTCCTTTCGAGCTAAATAAACCTAGTTAGGAACACAAAAAAAATGTGCATATTAAACACTGAATTGCAGTGCATTAAAATTGTGATGTTGCACTCAATTTAGTGCATAATCACTTCAGTGATAATAACAAGGAAATCTTAATTAATGGAGCTACCTTTTAAAAGTGCAAACCTTAGTATATTTAGTCATATATCCCACTGAGTTATGTGCAGCTTACTTCCTACTAAGTACTAAGCATTCGTTCTATTAAAAAATAGTAATAATTTCTAAAAGGAATTCTATATACAACTTTTGCAGAATTCACATCTTTTCTCTACGTTTTACAATTCATATGCAGACAGTTTCATGGATAATTTAAAGGGTTTGTGTTTTACAAAATAATACTGTACACATCTGCAAGGAAATAAAATTGCAGATATAAAAAAACCTATCTGACTCTAAGATTCAGACGTACAGCAATGAGGCATAAATGTGCTGAAATGAGTACACCCAAGAGTAAAAGGGTGATAGTTTAGTCCCTTGTTTTCAAAATAGTCAGCCACTATCAGCTTCAATTAGGAGGTCTTATATATCTGGACCTGCACAGCTGAACTAGTTTCAGAACAGCTGATCAAAGATCTGTATACAGGTAGTGGTAGTCCTTGCTTAGCGGCCATAATTGGGACCAGCAGCTCTGTTGTTAAGCAAAACAGTCACTAAGTGGGAAATCACATAACCGTGACTGTGCTTTCCTTTTTCCCACTCTCCTGCCCTTTGGAATGCTCTCCCCAGCAGTGGGATAGCCAGCTTGAAACTGGCAAGACTCATCAGTTTCACATCTCCACTTTTGTTTGCCTTCTAACCACTCCTCCACCATGTACTGGGATAATTAGCAAGAAGGAAATTAATGTTTGTATTCATATTCATTGAAGAGGAAGGCATTACAAGAGAGTAAGCAGGCACACAATGGCAAATACATATCAAAAGGAATGTGGTGGCATTGGCAGTCATGAGCGTGCTACACAGACAGCCCAATGTATTCCCCATTGTGTGCCTGCTTACTCTCTTGTAATCCCTTCCTCTTCAATTTCTCTGCTCTGCAGGGGATGGGGGGGAAGAAAAACAGGTCAAGTGTAGAACAACATGTACTGACTATAATGGTGATCACGTGACTGAGGGACGCTGCAAAGGTTGTAAATGTGGACATTGGTTGTAAAATTATTTTTCAGCACTGTCGTATGTTTGAATGGTCACTGAACAAGGCAGTTGCTAAGTGAGCACTACCTGTATTATTTTTTAAGCTGGATGAAGCTACTGTGTACATAGATACTAATGCTAGGTAAGGTTGCCCATTTCAATTATCTTCTGCTACTTCTTCATGTTTAATCTGCCAGTCCTCTTTCTGTGTTCTACTTAAGAGTGCCAGCTGTTCTTTAATTTCTTCACAAATTTAAAGGGAACAGGTAGGATCTTAATGAATGCATGAAGACTGATGTGCTTTGTCCCTTTGCAGGTAGCTAAATAAAATTAGGATAAAAAAATTCTACATAGTTCTTATGTTGAATAAGGATAGATGTAAGATAAAGACCCTCACTCTAGAATTAAATAAATAATTCTCTAGATAGGCAAACTTCTAATAACAGTAATAATTATACCAGTTCTTTCAGAGGAAGGTCATGTAAGCTACTTTAACAAAGAAGTGTTTTAGAAAAGGGTGTGCAGTGCTTTGGATTTGAAGGGACAGAAGTGCTTTGGAGTGTGCTTGTGCATGCACATAGCACCTGTCAGCAGCTTCTTAAAGCAAATGTTTATTTTAGTAGTCACTAAACTACTAAACTTACACTGCAGCTGCACCCACTGGACCCCAGGAAAAGATTCAACTTTTGCCCAAGTAGTTGCCAACAGCTGCCATGTGAGCATCCCTGCATGTGTGCTCCAAGCACCTTTTCCCTTTGAATGTGAAGCACTGTGCAACCCTATTTTAGAATAATGTTTTTTCTACTTACCATTTTCCAATCTGATTCAATCTTTCTCCATAAAGAGTCCATTTTCCAAACACCTTTCTCCCAACCACTGATTTTTTCATTGTTATTGGATATTCGTGTGTAACAGTCTTCCACTATATTATAGCTGAGGTGAAAAAGCTTGGAGGCCTTCTCTTTTTCAGTTGGAATAAAGACCGCTTCTTTATTCTAAATTACCAAACCCAAAACTTAAGTTAGCTTCTCATCAGACATTTAATAAATGTTGCTAATGATTTATAATAAATATATGATACAAACACACATTTTATATGATATATTTCTGTGTAAATTCTAAAGCAATTGGTAAAAGCTGTTCTCCAATTATACTGCCTAGGGATGACAAATTCTGCTCTGCTTTCGACAACTCAAACTGTTTGAAGTATACATTCAGTCTATCTTGTTTTCTCCTCAGTTCATAAAAAATTTGGTACAAATTCTATATGGAAATACATGGGCATTATTGTAAAAATTATTTTCAAAATTTACATTTTATAACCATTTTTCCTAATGCATTTCTTATGAGAAATACATAAAAATGTTTATCTTTGGAGGAATAATTTTTAAAAATTGCATGTATTTTGTATGGCTTTCTCAGGTATACTGTATTTTTACGACAATAAGACACCCCCATGTACAAGACGACCCCCACTTTTCCAACCCAAAATTAAGAAA